TAATCTATCAATCAATTACAAATACATATAAAATCAAAACAATATTTATGAAGCTTCTCTAAAAAAATATTACAAAATAAATCTACTTTTACCTACTTCTATTTAATTATATACAAAAATATTAGAATAAATATATATATATGTCTATGACAATAGAATAGATTATTTGTTGTAATACTCAGAAAATAGGTTGCTTTGGCATCATTAATCTTGAAGATGCCACCAAAGCCTTTTTGTCTACATAGATGTTAGTGGCTTTTCAACCAAGCTAAAAAAATATCCAATAGTTTTTTAGATATTGATTGATAAATATTAAATTAATAACTAAAAAAAATTAGATAATAAATCTAATTTTATCTATTATTCTAAATCGTAAATAGATTATTATATAAAAAATATAAAACAAAATTTTAAAAAATTAAAAACATATATGTGAATTTTTGCGACGTAATCATCTAACTTCTTTTTATAATATGTAGAATTGTTTCTTATGGTAGGATCTTTAATTTTCTTTAATTTTCAGTTATCTAAAAAATAAAATTCAAATTAAAATTCTTTTATAAATGATCTTTGTTGTCTCAAAAAATTCTTTAAAGAACCTATATCTCTGCCCTATATAGAGAAAGCAATAATCACATTTCACATTCTTCCATTTTATAGCTCTATTTAGGATTTCTTCTACATTTATTGTAAATATGTTTACAAAATATTCTTTAATATAATGAGGCCTTTCTAAAATTGAGTATTATATTAGATTATATAAATAAATGTTTGATCATTTTTTTAACATGATATTCTAAATCTCATCAAAATTTGTTGAAGTAGAAGAAAATAAATGGTTTGTTTTATTTTATCATATAGATTTTTTTATTTCTTATTTTGTATTATTTTTAAATAGGTATTTAATCTAAAACATTCTATTCTATTTTGATGCAAATCTTTCAAGTGAATAAGACTCAAATGATAATATAAATTAAGTTGATTGTCTCTTGAATTTTTTTAGACCTATGTTAAAATAAATCTAACAAGAAATATAATTTTTAACATTGATTTATTTTATAGTCGACTTAATGAATTGAATTTTAATCCCCTATTGTACTCATAGATTATAAATAAAGAAATTATGACATATTTAGCTAAATTTGGTAGAATACTACTTCAAAAAAATAGTAGTATTACTAATTTAATATTATAAAATTAAAAAAAAATCCTTCAATAAGACTTTTCATTTAATTAGTATAATACTTAATTCAACTTCCAATCATACACAGAAGCTATGTTTATTTTGCTTAAATGACACAATGATGTAGCAATGATCTTTTGAAAAGAAGAAATTAGCCATGATATTGATATTCAATGTACTATGAGTCATTTCTAAATAACTAAACTTATTTTTAATTGATTTTGGAATCATCATGAAGCATGTTATATCTATAATTGGACTAATATCCTTATGTACAAATTAACATCCAATCTTTTGAGTTGGAATTCTTAAAAAACCTTCACTCCGAACTAAATTATCTTTGCTTAAAATACTTTCATTGAAATTCATATATTTTTGCGATATTTGGTCTATATTTAAAAAAAAAAAGTTTATAAATTATTTAGATACAAAGAAATAAGTTTCTTTTGAAAATAGAATATAGTATATAATCTATATTAGAAGTATAGTCTATGAAGGTCTTATTAAATAAATACAAATTTTCTAGAATTTAAAAATAGAATATAAAAATATAAAAATATAGAAAATTAATATCACAAGTTTTCTTTATTTAAGAGAAAGACAACCCTCAGATAGTCGAACATATAGTTATTTCTGGATGTGACAAAATCATCAAATAGAATTCTAAAATACCTTGTTGTTGTATGATTTTACACAAAAGTATAAATAAGCTTATTTTAGTAGTTGTTCTATATTCTTAATATTTTAAGTATTTTATTTACATAAGAATTTAAATAGTATGTTGTAATTTTTTTAATCCATTAATTTATTGGATATATATTTTTTTGTTAAAAAAACAAAAAAATCAAAAATCAAATCAACTTGCAATAATAAAAATATATTCTTTTAAAATTTAAATATTTATATGACAAAAGCTTTAAAATAATATTTTAAAAATAAAGATATGAGCTAATATATTTAAAAATACAAAGAATGTATATTTTGGTCTATTTTATAGATCTTACTTTTTTATATATTATATTAAAGAATCAAAGCTTCCAAATGATGGATTTTATTTGGTTTTATTTTATTCTTTTGTTTTTTACTTTATTATTTATTTTTTATTTTAGAAAGAACCTTGATAAGACTTTTTAGTTAAAGGCTTGTAAAGTGATCTTTTAGATTTGAAGGCACTTTTAAATGTTTTAGAAGATATGAATGTAGTTGTGTAACACTAATTTTTTGAAAAGATATTACATATAATTAGTGATATATAATATAAAAACCATAAAATTTTAAGAATTAGAAATATATATATATATATATATATATATATATATATATTATAAAATATAAATAAAAATGATATTATCCATATAATTTAGTCCTACTCTATGTCATATTTAATTAGTGTATTTGACTCAAGTTAAAGAACTAATCTAACTTGATGCAAAGTCTCACTAAAAATGGTGGTATTTTTTATTATTGGAATATTTTAAAAGATATTAGAATTTTAATCTATAAATTATAAATAATAACTTTATTAGATATTAAATCTAAAAATAAAAGTAAACAAGATACTTTAAAAAATAAGAATTGATATGATTTTAATATAAATAGTAATAAAATTTATTAAAAAATAAGTACCTTATATTTTTAGAATAACTATATTTATAATTTTAATTTTAGTAATATTTAATATCTTTCAAATAAATATATTACGTAATTATATATATATTTATATATATTGCATGCTCTTATATCTTCTTCAATAGAATCTAATTAATCTACTAATTAAATTATGAATAAAATCATGTCATATATTATTAAAGCTTTTAAAAATATAAACAATAAAATATAGCATCACTTATCCTTTAAAACTATTGGAACTTTAAAAAGTAATTGACATGATTTTTTTGTTTATTAGTTACATTTACAAAAATCTTAGGATTTTTATTTATTTTTAAAAAGTTTTTTACAAACCTCCCATAATATTAAAAGAGCTTCTGCAACAATTTATAGTAGGTTCTGTAAAAACTTCATTGAACCTCTAGGTTATAGAGAAGATATAAAGTATCCTAAAGTGAAAGAATTGTAACTAATAATTTATTTATTTTTCAAAAACATCATAGTTTTATTGTACTAATAAAAAGTTTAAAATTCAATAATTCTGAACAATCTTGTTGAGATAATATCAAAAGTATGAAATCTCACAATATTAAAGAAACAATTGATTTGTTATGAATTTTTTTAAAACAAATTTTATTATGACACTTGTCTCTAAGAGACAAGTGTCATAATATAATTTGTTTTAAAAAACTGTACCAAATTGTTAAAGTTTTAAAAAATAAATAATCATCTGATATAAAGATTTTGCAGCTTATATATAATATTAATTAAAATGAAAAGAAGATTCTTAGTAAAACTGGAATTTGTTTTAAAGTGAATAGAAAATATTTTTAATATATATATATATATATACATAACTTTAACAATTTGAAAATTTTAATTCAGGTTTTTTATATCAGATGATTATTTATTTTTAAAAAATGTAAAAATAAATTTAGGATGAGTGGAATGCATCATATTATTACATCAAAAATTTCTTATATTTGAAAGTAACCATCTAGAAACGTTAAAGATTAATGAATGCAAACTGATACAATTTATAACATGTTGCTCATACACAAAACCAAAAGAAAAAAAATAAAAAACATAGAAAATCATTACATAAGCTATTCTTATATTTTAATAAACTAAATGTTGGACAAAATAATGAGTTACTTTATAACTTTTGCATAAAAATAACCTAATATACCAAAACATACATTTGTTACTGATAAACTAATTCTAAAACTTAATTTATTCAATGCTGCCAGTAAAAGACTTTTTCCGAAATTAAAGCGCAGGAAATCTTTTCATGTCATCTACCCATCTTATGAAGAATGGGAACTTCACATCCGCCCAACTTTAAAAAATCTATAAACAGAAGATTCTGTTTTATTGTTTTTTTATATTTATTTTTTCAAAAAGCACAAGCTTTTTTCAACAGTGAGAGTGTCAACATTTGTATGAAGCAAATCATAGACAAGAGCCAGGCAATGTCGAAAATAAGCTGCATTCATGAGACAAAAAGAGCTAACTCTAAATCACACCAAAGTCCATTCAAACAACAAAACTGGCAGAGAACTTGAGAACCATGAAAAAAGATTTACACTTACTGGTCTAGATTTGCAATGTGAGCTGGACGCTTTCTCAGCAGGCTGAATCCAAGATTCTAACTCGCACTGTTATAAAAAACTGAATCTCTATTGTAACGCTCAATCCACAGTTCCAGAAACGATAAAAGGTAAAAAGCCTCGTGTTCCGCAACCTTTTATAAACAGTTAAATATTCTTCAGGCTTCCAGCAGATCAACGCGGCTGGCTTGCCCGAGTGGTCTAAGGGGGGCGACTTAAGATCGCCTATGCGTAGGCATGCGTGGGTTCAAACCCCACAGCCAGCATCTTCTTTTGACCCAGCGGATATTTCCTGTGTCGAGTCCTCTATCCTCTAAATGCAAGTTTTTAAAAGCTCTCTATGCTTATGTCCCCACCTCATCTGACGATGATAATGGTGAAGAAAGACACTCTAATGGAAATCTAATGGAAAAGCGACTTGAGTAACGTTTTTTTCCCTGTTCTTAACAGATATGTGAAGTCCTGCTACTACAAAAAGCGAATAGGAAATAGAAAAAAAAGAACTGATTTGACATGGCGTGAATGAGCATCTTGATGAAAGATGGGAACCGCAAGATATCAGCGAGAGATTCTGTGTCAAGGATGGAGCGCATATCACGTATATATAAAACAGTGCATATATTCAATACCACTTTCTTTCGAATACTAATGCAACTAGGACATTGCACAACTGAGAAGGAAACGGGCTACAGAAAGTCTTCACACCTCACTGTGCTTATACTTTGCACTCGTTGCCTGCATGCGTTGTCTCTACACCCCGATTCGGCCATAAAGGCTGTACTACTGCGATATTTTAAGGCTGGAGGTCATCAAAAGCTGACTACGATAGGGTGGCGAAGGCTAAGTGCATCATTTTGAATGGTCCGCTTTTTGGGAAGTTTGCTGATATTAACCCTGGATAACTAGAACCTTCCATGCAAATAGCGGGGCTCATGAGCTTCCAGTCTTCTTGTCTGCTGTCATTGACTGAGTATGAAAACAAAGGGAGCACAATAATTCTTAGGAAATCGATGTACAACGCATAACCATACAGCTAGTGTCAAGTCACCTCAGAAAAAAGAACATATCATTGCTGCTGCACGAAATAAAATACGACTCACCAAATTTCCCAACTCCCATTATCACATGCTGCACAAGGGAAGGACAGATTGTCGCACCATAGAGAACTTTTCAAACAGTGACAAACCGTGGTATGCCTCCTTTGGAGTAAACTGAAATTTGAGAGCTTTTCAAGTGCAAGTTACAATTTTAGATCTACCATGTGCCTCAGCAGGGCACGCTGATTTGTAAGAAACACTTAATGAGTTAGAATAGTGATATTTGAATAAAGATCATTGGAATAAAGATAAATTTTGAAAAACTGTGGAAAAACGAAAACCATCCTGGTAAACATTACCGCTTGTGAACCGTCGAACCTCATCTTTGATTTCACGTTCAATTTGGGGCAGCCTTCTCATCACAACATGCCGAAATAGAGTAATAGTGATGAACCTGCTTGTGGATGCCCCTGGACCAACCTCAGATGAAGCACTGCAGTTTTCAACGATGGAAAGATCGCGGATGAATCGTTAGTTGTCAGCAGCCCCATCAAGAGCAAATGCCAGGCCAATTACCACTGCAGCATTTGAGAAAAGAGATAATGTTCTTTGAAACGCCCGCCTGAGCAAGATTTCGCGGCTCATTTCAATTTCAGGATGTACATGTGGTGGGGTGCTCCACACCCAGGTCATGAACTCTGCCAATGAACAACAATTTCTATGTGTTAACTCAGGTGCCAAATGCTCATCAGCGACTGGCACACGATGACCATCTCACTATCGAAGAGTCTTCGTGCATAAGATTATTAGCTATCATCAACAGCAAGGACAACCACAATAAAAAGAAAAAGTAAAAGAAGATGGGTATCGACGTAATGGTTGCCTGTTCCAGCATAAGTATAATTAAAGATAATTGACAAAATAAATAAATCGCATGCCGAAGTTTGAAATCCAATAAGGACACAAGATGACGCCGCTGATAAGAAGTGAAAGCGATAACGTTCATACCGTGGATTAGAGTCCGTAGTATGGGAGTCCACACGTTCTTCATCTTCCTTCTCAGGTACCTCAAATGCTGGGGAGGCCGCACTCTTCGTAACCGTGACACCATGTATCTACGTTCAATCATCCAGATGATTTGAATTAATCCTTCTGAACTCGTATAGGTGCTGCAAAAACTGACTGAAAATGATGCAATGCGGTGACTCATTACAGCGCAAGAGATTGCGAATCCACAGAGATGACATTCAATTATAATCCACTTCAAAAACCCAGTTGGAAATATCAGCCAAAAATGGTAAAATGACAACCGAAATCAGTAACATCATCACAAAACTCACACATACTAACAACTTCATCTCAATTGAATCCGATCGAACGCGGCTGAACTCGGTAAAGTCACAGCATGAACAATCGAGAAACGCTTGCATTGAAGCACGGCGATAGCTAAACCTATATTTTCAATTCCTCAGATTCTCCTCTTAAGTTGGGTACACAGAAACGAGGCTCACCTGCTGATACAACGTCAGTGCCGCGTCAAAAGTCTCCATAAGCGCGGCATCGTTCCAAGCGTCAGCCATTCTAGCCTCAGGAGTACTCTCGCTTGTGTTCGCAGAGCTTGAAATTGAGATTCTGCGTTGCGATCACTCACGAGCTTCCCAATTCCCCTGTCCAGCCAAAGCTTTCCTGGGCACAAGCAAGCCCTAAAAACAGGCTCAGTAGAGGATGATTTATGAGGATTTACATTCGTTCGTTTCTTCCATAGTTCATTCAATACCAGCTACATTTTTTGGTTATCAACCCAGATTAGACATTACTAATCACTTCCAGTAGTTTAATTATCTAGTAGTCTAGCTTAATCACTTTTAGAGTTTAACTAATTTCCGGTTATGAAACATGAGTAACAATGTATTTTCTTTGGGGTGTTTACTGTTTTTGCAACTTCTGTGTGTGTTTTCCTTGGGGGACATGTGGTAGTATTTGGAAACATACATTTCGTTTGTGTTTATAATAAACAATAGAATTGGGTAAATGATTGTAATGGTAGTTGTACAAATTACTAATACACCTGGTTTGTAGTTGTATTTACTTAGGACAATTATAGCTCTCTTTCTTCATTTGACAAAAAAGGAGATTTATCCAATGCATCAATAGAGTATCAAAAAGTAAACTTCTTCTACCCAAAGTCAACGTTAAGAATACTAAGAACACATAATACTTAATAAAGTGAGCTCATTTACACTTTTATGTATGATCAATAGTTATATCTTTAGAGAAACAAACACAGAAAGCCATGATTGAATTTTGTGGCATTGTTATTGTTTTCATTGATTTGTTACTATTAAGTAACTATAGGAAACAATTAATTTGGTACTGTGATTTATACTGCTGGATAGCAAACTACATTCTTTCATGCGATTTAACTTAATTCATAAATATCAAATGTTTGTATATATGTCTGTATGTGTACATGTGCTATTTTCGATGATTTTATTAAGATTTATTTTGATTTTGACCAAAACCATTCAGTATTTATTAGGATATTAAATTAATAACATTTTGATTTGTCATGGTAAATACTAAATTTAAATCCATGCATAAAATTATGAATGTTATAAAATTTTGAAAAAAAAAATCATTGAGAGAACATAGAACAATGTGAGGAAGCACTAAGAAATGATTTAAGTAAATAAAATGAAAAATCAAAAAGTAAAAAAGAAAATTCTTTCAAAAACTTCAATAGGTTACAAAGATATCAAGTTTATTTGAAGTTCTAATACAACAATATCTGATGCTGACATGACAGATGTTCTCATAGTGTACAATTGTGGGATATGTATTTTATAATCATATTGATGCCAAGTTGGATGTCAAGTTCTATAGACTAAAGCGATGAGGCGAGCTTACAATGTAACATATTCATTCCTCACGAGTTTTAGTGCATGCTACGAACCTGAGAATTTAAGAGTAGTTTTTCTTCTAAAATGAAATCTCAACTACTCAAAACCATTCCTTATAAACGCAATATGTCCAAAAATATCAGGTTCAAAGCGAGTGAAGGCATAAGTTAGAAAAAAATACAGTACTTAAACTTTAGGAAGAGTGATTTTAGGTACACGAAGGTGAACTCCATGCATCATTCAACATTTGTCTCTGTTCACAAGAACCGTAAACTATTTTGTCAATTCCCACGCAACCTGTTCGATGTATCTATGTGTCTTCCCTGCAACTCTAGGATTCTCCTCGGATGCATGGCGGTATGTCAAGAACAGTAATTCGTATGTAACATGAAGAAATCTAATAAGAATACATAAAAATGAAAAACATGACAGAATGAGGCAGCAGTAAATGGACACAGACAATTATAAGGAATTTCATTTGGTCTGTAGCAGTGCTTTTCAGGACATCACCAGATCACCAGATTGAGTTTTACTGCAACGGCCTCGGTTGCAGCATCATGAGCTGGAGTTGTGGAAGTGAGTCACAGCACAGGCAGATAATGATTTTTAACACACCCTGATTCTGTAGAAGTGATGGTGGTTTCCTCCAAATCGCACAAATTAGTGATGATGTACACGGACATAAGTGCATCTATACATGCACTGCATATTTATTCACAGAACTGTTACATCATGTCACCGCCAAAAACGCAAAACACCCTAAACCTGCATTTTAGGAGACGAGAGCAGGAGAGAAGAGCCAGGAAAGCTCCGCCAACGAAAAAGACACTAACCGTACACTCGTTTCAACACCAGAAGACCCATTGTCTTGCAGAGCAAAGGAGTGCTTACACCTCAGACACCCTTGCGCTTAACGAAAACATAAATCTATGCAGTTTTAGGATCTGAAATTCGACACCAACCAGAATCTGTCCTGGACTTGGTGGTCAACATTGGAAACTTACCCCCAACATAGTTGTCTTCGAAAACGATAGGTACGGACTTGAAGCACAACGATTGCTGATTTCATTACGGAGAATTGGATAACGAAGAACTTAATCTGGATAGTTTCACAGGACACACTTCAAAATCGTTGGAGCTGGGGGAAGTTTTTGTTGGCACTCCACACTATAGGTAATCAGAAGGTGAAAGAAACTGTCGCATTCCCTGATATGATGTACTACAACAACTATACTCCTCGTCATCGTCTCGGATACTTGAACATGACACTCCTCGACAACATTCAGATACTGACTTGCGGTGAGTGAGGGAGTTCCTGGAGATCTTCGTAACCGCTTCCTGAGAGATCTCTAGATGCCAGAGCCGTGTGCCTATTCGTCGATGACATTAACCAGCTCGTACTCCACAAGTGAGAAGTTGTTGTCCTCCTTCACAACAAAATCTGCCGCCTCAGTCAGCTCGACTCGTCCCCACTTGTCCACCGCCAATCGCATAGAGCCCTTGAACATGTCAATCTTGGCATTCCTTAAGATGACTGTCACTCCTTCCTTCATCAAGTCAACTTGATCATTCCTGGCAGTGAAAACAATAACACCCGTGTCGTCGCCGACAAGACACTCCGCAATCCGCACCTGACGCACCTGGTTCCCATCCGGGCGAGCCTTCTGCAACACCAGCTTCGTGCTCACCACCTTAACCGTCAAGGTGTGCCCGGCGGTTCCCGGCCGTAACTGATCCACTTTGACAAACACCGGCTTCCGGAGGCTAGGATTCGGCGACGCCATACCTGTGACTGCGTGAAGCTACAAAACACACAGGAAGCCGATCCAAAGGTCAACAAACACTGCACGGCAATAAGAAACTGCAACAAACAGTATCGATGGAAAGAAATTCTCGCTATGATAAACCTCACAACGACAGTTCGGCTTCCTTCGATGAAACTGAACACTAGCACACCTGCTGGCTCCAGTCAGCTCCTCAGAAACCTTCCCACCCACAACACGTAGACGACCAGCGAGACGCGCACTGCCTGCTCAGCGAAAATCCACCCATTTTCCCTATCTCCACCTATCTCAAACCCTAAACCCTGTTTCTGACGACCCAACTACCACAGGATCGTAGCCCTAGGCTGGATTTCCCAAAACAGAAACTCAGCAAGGCTGCCTCTGCAACCGCACGATTACTTCTCGCCGCTTGAATTATATTTTAATCCAGTGGACCGCACACACAAACCCTTCCCACGAAAGCAATGAATTGAAGCTTTCTGGAGATGGTCTCACCAACAAACCTGAGGCAATCGCTGGCTTCGGAGCAGAGGACCCACAGAAGAGTTAACTTAGGGTTTCGTATCACAAATTCGAAGAGTTTATCGTGGTGGAGAAAAGACAATCTCACTTCACGCGTCTTCGACGATATTCTTTCTGCACGTTACTTCATCTGCAAGGTCTCACCCAGGTGCTCCTTTTACCCGATGAAAAGTTAAATCTATGTTGATGTTGAGTCTGTGGAATCGCCGGGTATCCATCTCGGAACATTTTCAGCTTTCAACACGACATGCCCTTAGGGCTTCCTTTCGATCCCCCTCCCTCCCCCCCTGTAAGGAATAGCACTACGACGCTCTGTCCCAATATTTAATTACTTCACTTCCACATCCAACGGTTTGTATGCTTTGCGCAAGGTTTAATAGCCGGAGCAACTCTCTGCCCAAGGTCCTCTGTGTCTGCCGTTGTTTGTCCTCGCTTCGTCAAGCTTCAACGCCGCCTGCAACCATGCCGTCGCAGAAGACCTTCTTGATCAAGAAGAAGCTGGGGAAGAAGATGAAGCAGAACCGCCCCATTCCTCACTGGATCCGCATGCGTACCGATAACACCATCCGATACAATGCGAAACGGAGGCACTGGCGCCGAACCAAGCTCGGCTTGTAGGGTGGATTAGGGTTGGAGTTTTGGCTACCCTTTCGAACGAGGATGCGGCGTTGGTGCATTTGTTCGTATTCGTGCTGCGGAGTTCGTATTGGTTTCAGACTCTTGCTATTTGGGCATATTGTTCTCTTCTCTGAAGAGTCGAGAATGCAGGATAAAGTAATCCTTTTGAGCTTCTCACTGGCTTTGTCAGTGTTAATCTAACTTGAAAAGGTTATTTGAAGATTTGTACTCTGTGAGTGACTTTTGCTGATCATTTGTTCAATTTAGCGAACCCTCTGCGTCGCGGCGGGTGGTGCTTATGTTGGATGCTGTACTTCCTTACGAATGGTTTCTGTTTCTTTAAGGTTCGTTACTCTTTCCTCTTCCGAGGAGACAGTCTTGACCTAATTTGCATGGGGGGAATGTGATGGTCTTTGACATGGTGTGCCGTTTTGTTCTGCTGACGGGAATGTCGGAAATGAACATTTGGGCCTTCACCGCTGCAACTTGCTCCATTCCTTTTCTATTTGTATAAGTGCGATCCAGAACTGATGCGCGCAAGAAATTTTTCTGACCTCGCTCAAGGCCTCAGATCCCGGGAGTTGTCTACATTTTTATGTCGTTCTTCTAAAGATTTTGTTATCTTAGGGTTCCTAGCCGAACTGAGTCATTAATTATCGGTGCGTGGAGAAATCTAATTATCTCAGTTGGTTTCTTAATGGTTTGGAATTTGACGATACCGGAGAATCTTGAATTCCATGGTCTAGATTGTATCCCTGAAACGTTCTGGGGTGGTGTCGGCTTCTTCTGCCACGCGTCGAACCATCTCCTGTAATCAACTGGAATAGTTGACAAAAGTAGACCCATGGAAAGGATAACCAGAGTATAATTTGTCCTCTACTTCATTTGCACGCGTCTCTCTTTCTTAATGCAACGCTCCCTCTAAATACCACAACAACGCACTCAAACTCATGCATTCCGAACATGGAAAAATGTAAATTGCTTCAACTTGTGAATTCAGCATTGAATTGATTTGTGTGCAGTGAAATGGAAGGCTACTCTAAAGATGACCATGCCTTGTTTTCTCGCTGCACTATAATCTGAAGGTCAAGGTGATGGTAGTGGTGATGCTGCTCAAAATAGCAATCTCACAGCCAAGGTATTGTGCCAGCCAGCTTGTACTTGAATCGTGAACAGCGCACTTATTCTAGACTGTAAACAGAGGTTGTGTGGAGGGCAGACTATTGTTCTAGCAGAAAATTTTCTTGAAATCGTTGCAGGAGACTAATGGGGCAGCTTAAGAAGCAAGCTTGAGAATCTACTCATACCAGTTACGTGCGCATTCGACGGGTGCAGTTGCAGTCCTTTTCCTATCTGTACAGTAGTCGTATGTCACGTGCTTCTGGCGGACATCTTTCAGCTGGGCAATCTGGTTTCCATTCAGGTCGTGGTGTTCGGCTCCCTGATACCATTTCCCATCGTCCTTGCAGGCGGAGATGCCACCAGCAACGTCGCAGGAGTCCACGCCGAAACCTTGGAAAGATGCAACGAAGGGAGCTGCGTTCCAATCGAGGCCTACTTTCCCACCGTCTGTAGCCCACTCGCTGCCGTCCCACAGGCTGGCATAGATGCCCACCCCTTGACTGTTGGGGTATGGCACTCCAAGGTCTTCATTGTTCTTGTAGACTCGAATTGGGGTGGTGTCCACATAGAATCTGGAGAGGAACAAGGGATCTAGAGTTCAGTGTTTGTACTCACGTCATCCATACCTTGTTGACTCATGGTACAGCGTTAGGAGCATCGTTGTTGAACCAAAATAAAGAAGTGGACTTACACAGTAATGTTCTTATTCCAGAACAGGGAATATGTGTGGAAGTCAGCAGTTGGGTCGAACCAAAGGTTTATCCGCTGCTCGCGATCTCCCTTGCCCTTCGCAAATACGTTAGTCTGGAGAATATAGGGTTGATCTCCACCCTTGCCAAGGAACTCGAAGTCCATCTCGTCATGCTCTCCACCTTCTGAGGACAACTGCAGGTTTGCGCAGTAGGATCCCATCAACCCCACAATTCGATGTTGAATTCAAGTATGAAATACTTGATTAATTCAAGTTCTTCGAACTAGAGCTAAAGCAGAAGTCATTCTCTTACATAATAAGCAGTTACGGTGCCAGCAGAGTTTCCAGGCACCAATTTGATCCCCATCCCAATACTTCCGAACAAGTATTTGCTCTTCGATCCAAATGCAGCAGCTGCAACAGAAACAGTTGGAATCCGGATTACATCAGTAGTCTAAAACCAGAATGATTCCATCTCGTCTTCCTAGCTGTTGCTACACAATTCAGAATGAAACTTGAACGACTATTCATAATCCTATCAGCTGGTGTGTGCGTGTGTGCGTGTGTGTGTGTGGGTGGATGAGTGGAAGCTTTAGCAATGGGTGTTTTGCATATGTTTCTTAAAAGCACCTGATGATTTGTCTAAAACAAGATCCACCCGTTCACCCGCATTGAGGATTCTGGTATGGAATGTGTCAGTCGTGGCAAGATAATTCGCTGTGAAAGGCATGGCAGCGGAGGCTGCCTGAATCGTAATAGCTAGGAGCATCACAAGAGCTGCCTCCCTGGACCTCATTTTGTAAATATTGAAGATGCTCTGCACAATAGTATTGTCGAACAAGTAAATTAGCACCGAAGTATTGAAGGGATGGTTCTCAAGTGCAGTTGGACGGATCAATGATTTGTTTTCGCTTTTGGTGTCCGCCATGACATCACTTGTAGATTCAACTTACTCATTTAGCGTAATAGACCAATTCTGGTAAGAACAGTTTTTCTGTAGCACATCTAGAACCAAAGATTACTCGACTTTAAATTGAAGCCACGCAGGACGCCTCCAACTAATGTGGTAGAAATGTTCTGAATGAAGCACGGCAGTTTATGATTACGACGCTCCGACCAGCCAAGCTCGCGATGAGCCGATGTTATCACGCTTACCTTTCTGTTTCTCAAACTCTCAGCAGCAGTGACCTAGCTGAATGCTTCAGAATCCTGACGATGGACCTTTGACAACTACACAGCTTGTGAAGAAATTGGAGACAAGGTTCTCTTCAAGTTTCTAACTCGAATTTGAGAATATGAAGGTGGCCAAGGATCATCTCTCAGTTGCAGCTCTTTCCACGACCCGTTGTTCTATATCATCACCAATTGGCACCTTCCAGAGCTAAACCCCGAATCGTGTTACTTCAGGAGGTTGATGGGAGTGTACAATTTGAATCCGATGCAAACATCTGTAATGCATCCATCAGCATTGGTGCAATTACAGAATATCACAGACGGCTTGTCCTTTTACGAGCAGGTTCAACAGTTCCTCAAGTGACCACAAAATTGAAGGCCCAGAGGCATCTTTCATCACTACACAGCCGCCCAAAGGCTTTCCAGGAGAGACGCTTGTTCAAGGCTTCATGTTCCAGCTGGTGATGAGTCGGTGTATGCGCAGAAATGCTTCTGCTGCTAGGATCTTGACACTACAACTACGGCGCATCCCACGTGTTTCTTACAGAATATGTCCCAAAGGTCATCGCGAAATGATGTGGAGCTTATACAGACAACTTTGCCAGAACTCAATCCACCCCGATGTGGTGTGGTACCAAACCTCAATCAGAGATCTAATCTCGTGAGCTTTAAGCCTCAACATCCACAGGATAGACAGAACTCCTGGGGCGAGGACCTTGATTACGACAATTACAGACGGTTGGAGATAGCATTTATGTGAGACGGAAAACTGACAGAACCAGACTTGCGATGCACGTAGAGAGATAAAGAATTCTGCAACAAGTTGGATGGCGATCTTAGGCTCTGCAGTGGGAGCTGCATGAGTCAAAGGATGATAATGAGTGATGCTGATGTACCTGGTGGCAGAAGAGCTGATGGAGAGGTCGACGATGGTGCAGAAGCATGAGAGCAGACGGCTTCATATATGGCTTGGCGGAAGGCGTCAGAGTCCACCCAGCGATCAATCAACCATATCATTGGTGTTGCTGGTAGAAGAGAATTTCCTTGCATTTTGTTTACAACAGCACTAGAGCCAAACAATACATCATGCACAAGTCCTCCGCAATCATCATGTTCATGAGGCTTGAGAATTTTGACATGGTGAATTGCACAAGACAATTGAGTAGTTCTACGCAGCAACGATAAATTGACAAAAACAAGAAACGAGAGTTGGAAAAGCGATACCGAGCGAAAAAAGAATTTCATGCATGTGCTGGGTTGATAACTGATCCTACAGTGATTTTTCTGAATGCAAAGTTTGATGTTGTGAAGGTGTTCATCTTTTCTACTACTGAGCCCAAAAGTTGTTTGGAGTTTTCTCTTTAATTTATTTTATTTTATTTTATTTTTTTCACTAACTTTTGGCATGAGCAATACTTGTATGATTGCTGTTGAATCTCCATGTCTCACAGTCTGTCAAGGTGACAGTCACTCAGAAAGGCCATGAAGAAATGTGGAGTCTTCTGCTAGGTGCTGTAACATTCCTTTGCAGACCCTTTCTGTGTTTCATATCTCTGCTCTATGCACTAGAGTACCAAGTGCACTTGAAGTATTAAATTATTAAAGTATTGCAGCTCTGAGTCTGAAACCTTGTGCTGTGAATACCTGAGGGGTCGATTTTGTCACCTGGGTCAGTCTGAAGCTGCCCTTGCTTCAAACCTCTAAATAGAAATGTTTTGGTATGCTCAAAAGAACTCAAAACCCTTTGCAAGTTCCTAGTTTCAAATTTGAGACTTGCGGTACTGAATATTTTTTGTTATTATGCTTCCCGTTTTCATACACACAAAAGTCATCAGTTCTATCACAACCTTCCATTCGTGGAAGCTCGTATTGATTCATAATTGACACACAGGTCGATACCTTAGAAGAAAAAAAAATCTAAGGTTATTCCTAAAACCTAACTTGAATCAGCTCATTTTACGCCACAGAAATTGCGTAAAATCAGCTCATTTTACGCAGGTTGATCCTATTCACATTCAAAACAGTTGTATTTATTCAAAAAGGTTGGCAAAATGCAAACCAAAACCAAGCACACCTAAAAATTGTTCTTCATCTACATTGTTTTCTTTTATATATTTTTAAAATAATGATAGAAAAACAATACTTTAAAAAATAAATACAAATTGGTATGGTTGCCTTTGTCATCACCTTATTATGCTCTGACAAATTGGGAAATTTGCAAAGGGGTGAAGGACAGCCCAATCATCAAACCAATGACAGATGCATTATATGCACAATATTCATATATATATAAACATACACATCTATCCATCTCACCGGGTGGGTTGCCCCCCTCCCTGGATTTTCCAAATGAGAGAGAGAGAGAGAGAGCTCTGACACCCACAAACCTTTAGGACCCCCAATCAAGCCCCCCACCAGCACTATCCAATCCTACATGGCCCCCCTTTCCAATCCTCGCTGGCATGAGTCAGACTTAGTACGAGCCACTCCATGGCTTTCTTTTTTGTCTATGGAAATGGCTCACTTTCTAGAGCTCTTGTAGCCTTCCTTCTTCAATCACCAGCTGGTGCTACTGGTGTTTCTTATGGTGGAATCTTGCACACTGCTGATTGAATGTGTTGGGCCACAAAGGCTCCTCCCCTTCATCGCTGCCCTCGTCTAGAATAAAAATGTGTCAGATACCCACCATTGGGAGAGTAGTAGTAGTTACTGGACAATCAATCGACCATCAATCAAACAGACAAATTCAGAGCCAAGTTTCAAAAGAAAACAAACTCAGGGGTATCAAATAGTGGGCGGGTATGAAACAGTGGAGATATGACACAAGTGACAGACAGAAGTGAGATGTGATTGGGGTGCTACAAAAGAGTCTGAGAAGTAGGCAAACAGGGGCAATCCATCCATCAATTGTTGTTTCTGGTGTGTGTGTGATGGATGGACCATTTCAAATGATCACAATGGTGGTGGGGGCTCCTCTTCTTCTTTTCTCTTCTTTAGTGGGTACACTTACTGGACTCACAGCAGGGTTGTTGGTGTTTCCCCCCTTGTCATGCAGGTTTAGGGTTTAGTAAATATAACCCAATTACACCAAGACCCACTAACCATTTTTTTTGTTTCTTTCTTTCATCATTTCTGTCTTCTTTTCTTTGGTTGAATGCAAGATTGTGAACCGCATTTGGACAAGTGTTTGACAGACAGGTTTTTGACACCGTTTGTCAGGACTGCATGAAGCCACTCATTATTTGCAGCCAAATCAGTACAATCAAAATGGAGAACTCCCATCTCTTGTTCTCTCCTTCTTTATATCATTTCTTCCTTGTTGCTGAAAAGAAATTATTGGATTAGAGATTACTGAAATAAAAATACTTGGTACAGTTTTTGCATTTTACAGCTGTTTGTTGGTGTCCATGTAGGAGAAAGGACAAAAGGGTTCATACCAACTTGGAAACTCACACCATATCATGAACTTAAAACCTCAGAGCTTTTTCACTCATCTCATGCAACAACAACACCAACAACACCACCAACAACAAAAGAAGAGTTCAATTGTGACCTTGGAGAGTGTGATGGATGCTTGCTTGCTTGCTGAATGTGCTACTCTCATGTTCCGTGTCTCTGAGCTCACTTTGAATATGGCTGAGGTGGCTAAATCTCCTAATCTTTTGTCTTCTTTCACCAACTTTTGATACCTTCCTTCCTTCAAAACACCGCTTCAACTCAATGCCAGAGGATGAGCAGTTTGTTGTGCAGAAGTGAGCCAAATTACTGATGGGAGGAAAGGATGTGTCAGGCTTGAAGGAGGACCCAGTCATCCTCTTCTTCAACTGGGTCCCTACAAAATCTCACCCTTCTACTGCCCAGTGTGTGCAGCAATTAATTTTATTTTTTTAATTTTTCCTTCAATTGAAGAAATCAAAATCAAAATCACTTTTGTAGTTTGGCCTGCTGTTAAAATTCTGCACATGTGATGATGCATTGTACTAGAAGTTTATTTATTTATTTTTTAATTTTAATACAAAGCTGTCCTAGTGCTTGGAGTCAACTATGAGTCAACTTTGAGTCAGCTTCATCCAAGGAAGTGAAATCTAGACATGGCTAGCCTAAGGCCAATGTTTTGGAGACTTACATGAATCTAGTTGGGGTTTTCACATGGATCCTTCTTACACTTATACAGCAAGATTCTGCTTGTTTTGTGGCTTATTTGGTTTTGTATTTTGAAAAACAGTCAAGAAATCTTCAAGTAATAAACTGTATTTATACTACCATGTACTAGCCATTTATATGTAAAATGAGTTGGAAGTAAGATCTTATCTTATTCCATATTTTTCTTGCATATGTTTGTTAATTTTATTTATTTCTTTATTTTTAGATCCCACCAATGTTTTATTTGTATTCAACAGTTTACGGATTCACATACACTTGTGTATTAAAGCACTTAAAAATTGTTATTGTTAATGTTATTATTGTTGTACCTAGTTGAAGAATAAAACACTTGTTGTTATTTTTTTGATTTTATTTTGCTGATGTTAAAGTTTGGAAGTACTAACCTCCTTGAGAGTTAGATGTGCTTACAAGCATATCTTGTTGAATAAGGTTAGAATTTTGTTGCAGATTGACTCAAAATTCTAAAGTAAGTATTTTTATTAGCATAATGATTTTTTTCAACAAACAGATTATATTTTTTCTAAAAATTTAATATTAAAGAGTATAACTAAAATGTAAATTTAAAATTTTATTATTGGTATTATTTGATTAATTTTACTAAAAATAAAATTTATTCAATAATTCCCCAAAAAATCAATAGATATAGTTTGATAAATATTATTTGTAAAACACGTTTGAAATTTTCTTCTAAGAATTTAAGCAAAATTTGAATTTACTTAATAACAAGCTTTATAAAAAAAATTGAATTAAGATTTTTTTTTGGTTAAAAAAATTTAAATAGAGTTTATAATAAATATGTTTGTAGAAAGACAATAATGTCCTTAAATATAATAAAACTTTTCTAAGCTTAGTTCTGAAATTTGGAGAGTAGAGATGTATTAATCTAAATCCTCTAAATTACTTTAAAGCAAATTATAGTAATAAGTTACATATTTAAATCTTTAATTGAGTTAATCTTATAACACATATAATATCAGTTTTAATGTAAGTGTATTAAAAATTAAAATCAAAATTTTTAATAGATAAATATAATTTTTTATTTTAAAAATATCACATATAGTACTTTAATTGAAATTTTAAAATCTATTAAGAAATATATAATTTTATCTTATTTATGGATTTTTATACCAATTCATAATTATTTAGATGTTTCAAATCATAAGATAAGATAAAAAAATAAAATTTAATACTACTTAAAAAATAGAATAATATATTTAAATTTTTTATTTAATAATTAATTTAATTTTATATTATTTGATCATCTTTTTAGAATAATATTTAAAAAAATAATCATAAGTACATATATAATTTGAACTATTTAAAAAATTATCCCATGTAAGAGGTAAATTAGATTTATCATATAGCTATTCCCTAAAAGAGAAAAAAATATTATATTATAGAAGATCTTATTTTAAAAAATTATTTAAAAAATAAAAGTAATATTCAAGGAGGTAGTAAAACTAATAAATGCTAATGCTTCTCTTTTGTAAAATAGGCTTTTACTTATTTTGTAAGGCCATAAACAAGACAAAGACTTAATAATAAAACAATTCCTTCTTTTATTCTTTTAATTTATCTTTCAATTCCACGATGATAATAAATAATAATAAAAGTTTATATTTGGCATAAAAAATACATATCTTTGATACCTTGAATTTACTTTGATTTGCTACTATTCTACTAATACTTTTACACACATATGTTGTATCTTCTAAAAAAAATCAATACAATTTTTTTATTAATGTGGTCTTTCATGCCTTTTTATCTATAAAGTTATTTTTTTCTATACTAAATATTTCATATTCTACAATTTTAATAGCATAGAAACTAAATTAATCACCTATTAAAAGATTACATTAAATAAATAAGTAGAATATAGTCCATCTTTGTA